TTGATTTTTTTTTTTTTTTTTTTTTTTTTTTTTTGGTTTAAGGTTGCTGTGTGCCAAATCTGGTATCATTTGGGCGATTGGAATTTCCTCTGATGAGATTTCTGGAATTTCTCAAGATTTCTGAAATGGAATAGTGGCGACATTTCATGAAAATGCACTTTTACCTTGCTGTTTTATAGGGGTTTTTTAGTTTCTTTTCCATTTTTTTTGGTAAGAAAAGAAGTACGATCTCCACTCTATGAATTGGTTACAAGTTTGGTTAAAATAACCCTTGGGTTTTGTTATAGATGGCATGAAATATTGTCTGAAATTTGAGGCCTCCATTAACCGCCTCTCGCGGCAAGGTGACAGGAGCTTCACAAGAACCTTCACCGGCTGCCGGTTTTCAGGGGAGGCTGCAAGGTGACCAACGGACGGCATGGACTTCTATATAGACCTGGACCACGTTGAGGCAGATGAAGTGGTATAGACCCATGCCGATATGACACTTCCTGTACCAGACCCACAGCTGCTGCTCGCTCTTTGCTCACGACATTCTGCCACGCAATGCTACCCAACCTGCTGCTCACTTGCGCTCTACTCTTCCTCTGCCAGTCTGAACGAGTCCTACTCTCGTCAAGAAGTGTCAGCATCCTCCCTCCTTTGCGCTTGCATTTCGTGCGCAGTGGTCGTCTTCGTCCTCGCGGCTGGAGATCGATAGCTGACGCCTGGCTGTTCGCGAGCCTCCTATCGAGTTGAGTGCCCATGGGATCCACATCAACGGATGCTATAGCCGAGAGCAGCAGATCCGGCACGGAGCTGACCACTTGAGCGTTGCTGGTTTATATTTCGCTGCTGGCATTCCTTGTCTATCTCGCTGTGCCCCCGACTTCCGGCATGCAGCCTCCGTCAGCTTTGCAGGCCCCGTCATTCGCGTCTCCCTCCATCTACACCACCCCCCAGCCTCTTGCCCCGCCTCGCAGCAAAGCAATGCACAAACCATCTACCACTCCTACGCCACCGCCGCCTCCTTACTGTCTTGCTTTCCATCACCTTCCGACGACAAAGGAATGCCCTCTCCCCTCTGAAGACGTTGCCAAGTGGTTGCAGCAGAAAAGCCTCACGGATTGCCACACCCTCATGCGAGCCTGTCAATTGGTCCTCGAGCCGACGTGCAGAATAGGAGCCTCAATAACGGCAAGATACCGGATATTCTCATCTTCGTCTTCTTCTTCTTACCTGCGTGGCAACCAGCAGTGAGGTCGTACACTGCATGGTGGCTACGTCTACACACCCTGGTTGGGTGTGCGTGTGTGACTGGGTACACCGGGTCGCGGGGAAAAACGAGTACCCGTGCTGGGGTGGGCTTAAGTACTCATCTTGGGGCCTAACTTTCACCCCAGTCCACTTAGCCGTTTGGTTGAGTGTTTGCCTCTTGACGTGAAGGTCACGTGTTCGATCCTTGGATCGGTGCGAACAGACAGATTGTTGTCTGGAGTAAGTTTCCAATTCCTCTTCGTCCAACCTCTACCGTCTTCCCCCGAACACAACGCATACTCATTTTGGTTGCACCGGACCGAAAAAAGAGCTTGTATACATTCATTATCAGGGTGCGTTGTGTTCGGGGGAAGACGGTAGCTCTCCCCGTCCTCCTTGCAATCTCTGGGCGGTGGATGTGACTCGGAACTGCAGAGTTCACAAGAGGCTTCATTTTTTTTTCGGTGATGAAAACTTTTTGCTCTGAATAGCACTTGTGAGTTCTTTTTCATCAATCTGTTTCTTCGCTTTTCTTCTTTTCTCGGCGTTCTTTTCCCTTTTCTCTTTCTCCTTTTCTCTTCCCTGTCCTTTCTTCCATCTTCCTTTCCCTTTTTCTGCGTCTTTACACTGTTCCTCTTTCTTTCTTTCCTCCCCCTTCGTTCTTTTCTGTTATCTTCTTCTTCGGATGAGTTTCTCACACTGCAGTCCTCGCTTCAACTCCTTTCTTTTGAATAATGTATGGCAGTCCCTCGTTAGCTGCCGTCCTTGCTCTTGGTGCGGAAAAGTGATGCTGTGACCCTAGTGATCTCTTTCCCTGAGATGTCTTGGCGAGATTGGCATCTGACGCATCAAGGTCAGACGTACCAGTTACGGGCGACCCTTGAAGGCATACCACCTCGAGGAGCAAGCGCTCAGGAATTGCAAGATATCTCTTCCTTGCCTTCGCGTTGAATGAACTTTCGATCGGCATGGTCTTTTTGAAATCTCTAGGCCTTATTATCAGTCCCCCGATTTGCCTATATGGACCCGCGAACGTCCGGAGCACGGCCATTGCACAAGACAAAAGCAGATCCTACGACTGAAGCGATTGCATGTCCGCACGTTCTGAGATGATTGTCCTGTGGACTGGCACAATGATGATGATTGAAGTCCGATCAGTCCCCCGATTTGTTTCTACATTTCCAGGACCGAGGAACCGTCCGAGTCACAGACATATCTCCTAATACGTATAAGCAGGTCCTTAGGACGGAAGCATTGCTTTTCACAACAATCTGTAAAGATCGCACGAGCTCATTCCCTAATGACGTGACGAGTGAGCCTTTCTTATCTCTGTCTCTACTTTCTACTTTCATCCTCTGAAAAGTCCTAGTCCTTCGGTTATATCGCACTCGAGGCTATTTCCTTAAAACTTGTGACGCAGCAGTACCTTTTCTCGATGTTGTTTGTATCACGAGTGCATCCCATACCTGCGTAGAAAAAGGGCAAGGTGTGCCCGTGCAGCAATGCACCGAAGCTTCAAAAGTCCTACTAGTCCTTCGGTTATATCGCACTCGAGACTATTTCCTTAAAACTCGTGTTCTCCAAAACATGCAGGCGGCAGCGTGTAACCGTACATCAATAGGTTTTTCAGATCATTTGCCGAAAGAGATGCGAACAGAAGATTGTCGAACTGGGGACAGTCATTTCCTTGGCCCCTCCCCGGGGTCGCTCGAATAGGTCAGCCAGTCTGTCCCAGCGGGGCACCACAGATAAGCTGCGCAGGGTACCCATGATTTAATAGAAACGACGAAGGAAACTACAGATCCAAAAAAATCCCACGAGTTTAGCAACTGCCCTGAATGCCCGGAGCATCTCGTAGTAGGTCTACTCCATCAAAACAGGTTCAGCCGCCATCGCCCGAAGCACAGCCTGCCCCCCTCCGCCCCCCCCCC